GATCATGTGCCAGGTCTGCAAGGAAAGACCAGTGCAGACTATCTCTAGGCAATGGGCAGACAGTCCCGTCAAGGTGGCAGCCAGCTCAGGGCAGATGGAAGGGATTCTACCCAAGGGGCTCCCCAGGTTCACCGTATTCCTCACTCGCCTCAGGAACTTCTAGCCCCCGAAGCTAAGGGTATGGTTTGGGAGAAATGACTGTAGGTTTTCTCCTGGAGAGAGAGAGAGAGAGAGAGAGAGAGAGAGAGAGAGAGAGAGAGAGCCAGCCTGAGGCTCAAGGAATCCTGCCCTTTACCTCCAGCCCCAACTCCAGCTAACACCTCCAGCTTCTCCTTGTCTTAAAGATTATCTTGGAGGCTCACAACCTTCCCTTTAAAAAAAAAAATTCTTGCTGATGGAAAATTCTTCCTCATACCTAATCTAAGTCCATCTGCTACAATTTCTGTCTATTTTCTCTCGTTCAATCCTTATCCTTACTGGAGATGGAGAACAGCTGGTCGCCATCCTCCATATAACATCCCCTCCTAAACCAGAATCAGTTATGACATCACCCCTCAGCCTGGTTTGTTTTTTTTCCCCCTTCTGGCCTACCGTCCACTGTGCCTCCTGACCTATCTTCGCAGATTCTAGCTCTGGAAGTATGACCAGTCACCATGGCAGCACAGGAGGCCGCAGAGCTGTGGCCTCCACAGCAGGAGGTACACTCCCTGGCAAGATCAAAAGAGAAGGTCACTGCAGAAAGGGACCTAGAAGAAGAACACAGTCCAATCTTTTTACCCAAGAGGAAACTAAAAGCCAAAAGAGTAAATGAGTGCTATGTCCAAGATCAAACCCCAGGGTTCAAGTGCCAGACCCAATACTCCTTTTTGTTTTTTCATTTTTGATTGGGGGGGGGGCGGCAGGTAGGATCTCCTTATATGGCCTAAGCCTGCCTTAAACCCCCCCTCCCCCATTATCCTGCCTCTACCTTCCAAGTACTGGGATTATAGTCATATGCCACTATACACAGCTAAAACCCCAAATATTACGACTCCCTGAGGGGTCACAGCAGTGTCTCAGCTGACAAGCAAAGAGCCACCAGCTCTCAGTTTGCATCTCTTCAATTCTGTCCTTCTTGTCCTGCCAGCAGATGCCTGAATTTCTGCTACAAACGTCTTTGGGTTTGGGGTTAATAAGCAACCACTGGAAGTGAGTGTAGCTGGGTGGTAGTGGGGTATATTTGTGGGATATGAGAGAAAGACTTCAACACCTCCGTAAGTTCCACTGTTAACTTAATGTAGGGAGTAAATCTGATCTTTTCTAATTACTGATAGGTTCTGATTAAAAGAGAACAAAGAAACAGGGAGAATGGCAGGCAGACTGTACTGTGCGCTAATGTTTGCAAGGTCAGTCCCCAGCTGGACCCCGTGGAGGCTGTGGGAGGGGACTTGGGGAGTGATTCTCAGGATAGAAGAGCAGCAGGATTCCTACACCTGGTAGGCATCATCTTTGCCCAGAGGCCTCTGCCCTGTCTGCCTCACAGAACCAGCAGCACGCCACCCGGACCTCTGCTGAGGTGTGAGTTAAAACTGAACTTGGTGAAAGGTTTACCTCATCAATTCCATGGGGCACTCTCTGATGGCTAATCCAGCATTCCGGGGGCCTCTGGTTAGCTCTTTCTGAGCTGATGTGAGCAGAGTGTCTATGAGGAAATCTCTCCTAGGGTGTCTCAAGACAGCGGGGAAAACCAGAATGGAAGAAAGACAGAGAAATATACCTACCTATCAAAAGGAGTAAGGTACTTGCTTGCTTCAGGTGAACTGAGTCCCCAGCTGGGATGAAGGGTGGAGACTAGGTGTACAGAATAATGCTTTGGAAGAGCTATTTACTCATAATTTTGGCTCTGAAATTTTCCTAATTGAAGACTGGAGGACACTCGAACATGGAGAATACTGATCTTAGATTTCAAAACAGCCTTTTGCCACTTTGAATAAACAGTGGCACATTTCGACTTAATCTTGTTGACTTTCAAGGATGTTCCAGACTGCTTCAAACCTGCAGACACACCCTCCCAAAGAATAGCTGGGGAATTCATACACCCGCTAAGAGAAGGAAGACATCATGACGGCATTTGCCAAAAACGCCTAACCCAATAAACGTGCTTATTTGATTTCCCCCAAACCACAGAATTAAATTTTAAAAGATGGGGAAAAAAGACACTTCTCTGATAGAAATTTTAATATGTTTTCACTCTTATTTCTGGGCATGATTTTCTTTAACAGCAAAATCTGCACAAAATGAGGAGATCGAAGCAGGTTGGCAAAGAGATTACTTATTGACATGTTTATCATGGAGAGGGATGACAGGAAGGATGGTGGGCACTGAGGTCCAGGGGGGTAGACAAAGTCTCTTATTTGCCAGGGCAATCAATCACACTGGGCTTAGCACAGCAGAAAGATGTCTACCCTCCACATCACAGCAGCTCAGGACAGAAGCCCTGGCTGGCCAAGTGGGCAAAAAGAAAAACACTACATGGATGCATGGTGCCCATCCAGGTGCCCAGCTAAAGCGATCATGTTCACTTCGATAAAACGACAACCAACAAATTTCATTCCCAGAGCATCCATCAGTTCGTTCACACACACGCAAGCACCCAGCCTCACAGGAGTTCATGAGCCACAGACCACGATTACATTCTCCATGGCAGAGGTTCAGGGTCCTGGGGTTTGTGCCCACACTGTGCAAGGTAAAGCCCCAATGAGGGTGGTTGGAGTTTTGTCAATTACTCTCCAGCTCTATACTCGTTTTTTTCTTTTTTAGCTTAAGTTGTTATTTTAACGATCTCTGTTCCAAATGAGGAAATACAAGGAAGAGGAATGAGGAGGAGGAGGGAGAGAAAGCAAGTGCTCCAGCGTGTCCCACTTGTACTTTTCAAAGCTCCCTCAGCTCCCTCCCCCACCCAGCCTTTTCCTCAGTGCATGAGTCACCACAAGGAGCTGTTTTAAAATGCCTTGCTTGAATGCTCTCCATCATGATAGACACCAACAGATCACAGACAGGCAGAAATGGAAAGGGGACCCTGAGTTCTGCTCCTGGGTCAGAAACCAGGACACCCCTCCAACTCAAAAGCTTGCTGAATTTATTCCTATGTTCATGAGAAAGAGAACAAAACCAAACAGGGTGTACCCATTCAGGTCACTTTCTCAATGCTAGGTACTGACCCCATGGCCTTTTTGGGGTCATGTGCCTTACATCACAGAGAAAAAAAATATCCTTTAGAACTGCCCCCCCAACCACCTAGAAAAGTTCAGTTCCCCCCAGGGACCTTGGATACCAGGAGTCATGCTATGCAGAGCCTGGAATTTGCTTTGCAACTTCCAGACAACCCATGCACAAAAGAGGTCAGGCCCCCTGACCAGCTGTAACCGCACAAAGCTAGGCAACTATTTCTCCCACCATCGGGACTAGAACTTCCATAATGACAATTCCATAATGACAATTCCCATCCAAAACAGTTGCCTAACGGAAGTGAAGGGGAACCTGTTGTGCGTGGTAGTGAAGAACATAGGAACTGAAAGTGGAAATGATTTGTGGAGAAGAAGAATCCAGGCTGTCACACCTCTGAGGCAGTGGGAAAGGTGTCACATGGATGCGGCACTGTTGCGAACCCTTCCCAGAACACCCTTGTCAGGACTCTTTCAAGTCTGGAACAGAAAGCAAAGGGAAGGAATTCACCTGGACCCTGCATCCCCTGAAAACCCAGGGACTTGTCACATCACCTGGGCACGGACGACATTGCAGGTATGACACACCATGGCGTGCCTTGTAGCGATGGGCACCAGGAGCTACCTGCATGTGAAAGCAGGGAGTCCAAGGCCAAGGACATCACCTTCACCGGTGCTGGGGACACCACTTCCCCAACGTCCACTTACCTAGTGCTCCCCTGCGGCAAAAGTCAACAGAAAGGAGATATCCCCAGTATCCAAAGTGGGTCTCAGTGAAAGTGAGGCCCTTGGAGTCCCATGGTGTGGCATATTCAAGAACCAACCATGGGCCATGGCGAGCATTTCTACTTGAAGAGCGGTTACCAGAAGCAGTGTGAGCAGGGACTCCAGCACCATCTTTCTGCCACAAGCGCACCTGCGCATCTAGACAGAACTAGCCCCCAGAGCCCCCCTTCCCAGCAGCCTCACTTCCAGAGCTGTGGGACCTCAGAGACTTCCTTTCTCTCATAGGAGTGTAAAGCACCCTGAGAAAAAATTCAGCTCCATCCCCACTGTGTTTGGGGGTATATATACCAAATCAAGAAAGTCTTCCCGAGTGTTCAGGAGCTGATCAATGAAGTCATTTCTTTGTCAATGGCAAGGGTTCTATTTCTCACCAAGTTGGGGGTGATGCGCAGACTGACGTTCCCGGGGTCAAACGGGACAGGCTCCTACACCCTACGAAATTTCTCTTTTCACCAAACGAAGACAGATGGAGAGAAAGTAGGCAAAAGTAGCCCAGGAGAAGATGAGAAAAGTTTGCGGAAGGACTGGAGTTGAAGGTCACAGTAGTTTGGGCAAAGGCAGGTCAAGGTACAGCGGACAGGACAGACCTGTCCAATGGCAGGAAATCCAATCAAACCGAGCTTGCTTCTGGAACCAGCTCGTGCATAGGATCACAGCATCATGCTGGCCCAGGAAGCTGCCGATCTGGGGTCCAGCCTCAGTCACCCAGCAAACCTGAGTCGACACCCTAACCATGCAGGTCCCCTGGCCCCAAACCAGAACCATTTGATGGACCTGAGCGCAGCCAATTAAGAGTAGTAAACAAACCTAGCTCTTGACGGGCGCAGAAGTTTTTTCCGAATTGTAGGCTTGTTTTCCTCCCAACAAAAGACAGTGGGTCTCCACCTTCGTCACCTTTCTTCCCCTTAAACTTTTCTCTTCTCTCTGCAATCCCTCCACCTGTGCTAACTGCAAGCCTGAGCGAAAACACAGCGGAAGCAGCCCCCTCTCCCGGGACACAGATAAAGGTACCTTCTCCGAGAAGCAGAGGGGCTCTCGTCCGGAGGCTCGCTGCCGGCCGAGCGCAGGAGGATGCAGCCGGGATGGAGCACGCTGAGGATGCTGCGTTCCTGCCTCTGCGACCAGACCTTTCAGCAGCTCGGACCAACTGTGCTAGCGAGGCACTTAGCAATTATCTGCTGGCGCCGACGCCCCGCCTCCTGCTCTTGTGATTGGCTCTCCAGTCCCGGGCAGGACTGCATTGGTCTCAGCCGACCTCACTCATTGCTTTGGCTCCTACTATTATCTAAGCCATCAAAGGAAATAATTCCATGTTTCATTGACAACCTGTAAGGTTCTCCTCCCGCCAGGTGTCCGGGGTGGGGGGGAACTGGGACTCCAGAGAAGGGAGGGGAGGAGAACCAAAAAAGGTGGGGGTGGTCGAGAAAGGGGTGGGGGGAGGAGAGGAGAGGAGAAGAGAGGAGAGAGAGAGAGAGAGAGAGAGAGAGAGATTCTTGCCCCAGCATTTTAACTTCCACAGAACAAAGCCCATTCCAACAATTACCTGGCTTATTTCCTCATGTCTCCCCCTTGCTGGTAAATATTCCTGAGTCTTGTAGGAATCATAACGTATCAAAAGGCTCCGGAAAGCAGGGCAAGGTTGAGGATTGAAGAAACAGAGTGATGCTTTTACACCTTGGAGGTCATCTGAAGGTCATTTCAGATCGTTCAGGGGGTCATAGTACATGCTTTCACTGGTTGTTCATGTGCCTAATTCTTTTCCCTAAAGGTTCACTGACTGCCCCAGCCCCAGGTCGCCATTTCCTTCTGCGCTCTGTCTGGAGTCTGGAGAGAGCTGTTCTTAAAGTCCACAAAAGTCTGGGGTTTCTCACCACGGGAGGCCCAAATGAGCAAGTAGAGTCTGGACCTAAGTACCCAACAGGAACCTGATTGTTTGTTTGTTTGTTTGTTTGATCTTTTTTTTTTCATTATTCTAACATGGCTTCATTCCATTAACTGCACAATCTCGAAAATTATCAGCCAAAGCAAGTAAGGAAAAAAAAAAGTGGCACCTCAACCTACATCTGGTGAACACTTCAGCTTCTCACTCAGAGACCCATACAGAAGGGTTTTACTTTTGTCCAGCTCCATGCTTGCTCACCATGTAAAAAGGACGTGATTTAGAGTCTGCTAAGAAAAAAATGATTAAGAAGGATCTTTGAAAGATAAAGTTCTTAGAAAATCTACTTCCGCGGAGATCAGCTCATTGGCAGAGCGTGTACTTGCCTGCATGTGCGAGGCTTTGGGTTAACTTTCAGGGTACTGAATTCAAAGGGAAAAAAAAAAATCAAGTTCAGGTTCATTAGAGGCAGCCCTTCAGGCTTCTCTACTGGAATCCCACCTCTTTGGAAAGATAAAGCCCGACCCGTCCCCACCTATCCTAGGCTCCAATGAGCTGCCGTCTCGTTGTCCTCCCCATCCTCAGCAGCACGGGGCATGTTGTCCTCCACCTAGTGGGGTAGCATCTAGCTCACGCATACATGCCTGGCTCCATAAATATATTCTGAACTCTGGGAGTATGGAAATACTATTGAAAGAATCAAGAATAGGAGATAATTTAGTAGCGCCACCCCCCCCCCAAGAACCCACCTGGCAATGTAGTTTCTTCACCTGCACACTCTCTGCACATACACCTCTATCTAAACAATGTACCTAGCAACCTCACAACCTCCTGACCCCTCCATCTGCATCAGGTTACATGGATTTTTACATAACAATAGTATGAGTTCTCGGACTCCTAGTAACAAGCAAATATGGACAGTTTCTCTTCAAGTATATTCCCAATGTATCTGAGAAGGAAGAACAGAAGGGCTGATGCAGCCTGGGCTTGGTTGGGTAGATGTGAAGTAAGGCAAATCCTGTCCCCCTATTTACCATCATTATGTCTATGCCTATGCATAGCCAGGTGGTGGTGGCACAGGCCTTTAATCCCAGCACTCAGAAGGCAGGGGAAAGCGCATCTCTGCATCTGAGGCCAGCCTGGCTGCCTGGTCTACAGAACAAGCTCCAGGACAGCCAGAGCTACACAGAGATACCCTGTCTGAAAAACCCTTAAAATTTTTTTAATTAAAAAAATAAAAAATGCATTATGGGAAGGGACATGCACAATAGAAAAAAATGATTATACAACCTCAGTTTAAGTAGAGAACCACTATACAGCCCTTAGTCACCAACCCCCCTTCCCTTCGACTCTATAAAAAGAGACCTCGGGCTGCAGCTTATGGCTCTTTAGAACTTGACTCAGGTGGTCTACTGTCGATCTTTACAACACATCCATCTTCAATCTCTATCATTGCTTATCTGCAAATGAAATTTGCTTCTTTTACAAATCTCCATGACTTCTTATTTTCAGTTCTTTAGATAAGTGGCCAAGAATCTGGACCTCCAGCCCAGACCTTGGTCTCTAGTAGCAGTATTTGTATATCTGTATAACTCATAGAGAGCACAGAGTTTACCACCGAGGTGTGCAGTTCTGAGGCTCACAGAGACATCATTCTGCTGCTATAGCTCATCCTTGGTAGGTTGAGAAGGGAGAGCCCACTTCAGAGACCTAGAGCTGAAAGGCTATGAACTGCCACAGCTTCTGAGAGGATGCCAGGTCCCCAGTCCCTTCAGTATCCTCTTCCATTCAGTTCTGTCACTGGGAACAAAGACAGAAATTACAGCTCTGTACTGTCACATACAAAAGCCTGAGGGAGGGAGGCCCCTTCTCTTCGAAGGACCTTGACTCAGTTAAAACCAGATCCTTGACTTCAACTCAGAAAAGAATTTCAGAACTAGCCACTATAAAGCAGAATTGTGGTTTATTAAAAGACATAAAAGATATGTTTTTAAAGATTTTAAGCAAGAGGAGAAAGCATTTAGGAAGAAAAGAATGTGCAGCTGAAAAAAATGGGTGTAGGCTTCCCTAAGAGAGAGTCTCACTTTGTTGTATTTACAATATTTTCTACATGGGATTTTGACGGGTTTTGAAACTTCAATCTTCAAGATGTTGGTAAGAAATTTGTTCTATTTTGTTTTGTTGCTGTGATAAACACCACATCAAAAGCAACTTGGGGGAGAAGGGATTTTTTTCCTATTCCAGGGGTAGTCCACAGTTGATGGACATCGAGGCAGGCGCTCAAGCAGAGCAGGAACTGAAGCTGAGACCATGGAGGTGTACAGCATACTGGGTCACTCTCTGACTTATGATGCACCTGCTTTTTATACAACGCAGGACCACTTTCCCAGGGACGATGCAGCACCCAGGGAGCTGGGCCCTCCTACATCAACTAGCAAGAAAAATGCCCATAGACTTGCCAAGAGCCCATTGTCTAGGCTGTTCCCCAACTGAGGTTCCTTCAGATAACCCTGGTCTGATAGCTAAAGCTAACCAGGGCAACCCACACATGGTCAACTTGATACAAACATGTCACTTTAAGCCATAACCTTTCTTTTTTTTTTTTGTCCCCCAAATCAGCTCTAAACATCCCACAGTCTTTAAAATATTAACACTTTAAAACTGAGAAGTCTCTTCTCTGTGGGTCCCTATAAGATGGAAAACAACAAGAAGTTACATACTTTATTATTCCTAGAGGGAAGAATCAGGACACAATGACAATCACATCAAAGAGACACCCAAACTGAACAGTGTAAAAAGCTCAGTGTCCAACATCTTGCACTCAGTCAAGATTTTCTGGGCTCCAGAGGGCTGAAGTAACTCCATGTCTATGGCTTTGCAACCCGCATGCTACACAGCTTGTCTTGTAGGCTCAGGCTGGCTCCACTCCACTTCAGGCACTATCTTTGGTGGATATTCCCACAGTCCTGGCTTCTCCAATATCCTGGACTCTCCACTGCAAAGGAGGCTTCACTTTTCACATGTTGATTCCTGGCCTCCAGATCTGGTGAGAATCCAGCCCCTGCCACTTGGTGCCAAGCTTCAACCTCTCACCGTGACCCCTTTGACCCTGGGGTCTCCACTGCCCCGAGACCGCACATTCACCAATGGCCTCTGCTGGCCTCTCAAAGTGCCAAGGCTCAGTTTATCTCTATGACGTCTTCAATCTTGAAGCTTTCATGCCACCAATAACAGCATTACATGGGAGACTCTTTTACACTATTTGGCTGCCAGCTTGAGACGAGACTTTGGCTGCCTAGACATGATAGTCTCGGCTTCTCTCTGAAGTATCACAAGCCAGACGTCCATTATATCTGTATTTCTCTCACATAGCAGTCCATTCCCTTCTGAGCACTTCAGGGCTTTTCCTGCCCAGAGTTCCAAACACTTCAACAATCCTTCCCCAAAATAACATGTTCAGGTCAATCAAAACAACACCCCACTCCTGATTCTGATTTCTGACCTTGTTTACTTCATACCATTTAAATAAACACACATCTGCAACTTGTGGAGGAAAGGGTTTATTTCATCTTACAGTTACAGTCTGCCATCAAGGGAAATCAGTACAAGAGTTCAACCAGGAACTGAAGGTGAGACCATGGAGGTAAGCTACATTTTGGCTCACTTATTCTGGCTCATGCTCAACCTGAGTTTTTAAAAATCCCAGGACCAGCTGTGCAGGGATGATTACCCCCACACACACCCCTCCCCCGAACCGACACACACACACACACACACACACACACACACACACACACACACACACTGTACTGGGCCTTCCTCCATCAATTAGTAATGAGAAAATGCCCCACATACATGCCCACAGGTCAATCGGATTGAGGCAATCCCCCAGCTGAAACTCCCCCAGATGTACAATGCGTCAGGTTGACAGCTGAAGCCAAAGAGGAGAGAACCGAAATTGAGATCACCAGGTGGTTCCTCGGGGTCCCTAAGTGGGTGACATTTGATAAGGTAGAAGTCTGGGTTACAGGAATGCAAGATGGCAGGGTGTCTCTGCTCTAAACCAAGTTAACAGTCCAGCTTGACATTTCCCAATAATGTCTGAGAAAAGGAACGAGGTCATGTATCAAGATCATACACATTCAGGCCTTGATCCTGACTCATTGCTATTTTAACATAAAATATCCACATATCAAAGGTGTTCTAGTCTGCCACTTTTCACATCTGATTGTACTGGAATCCTTGCTTCTCAGCTGGAGGGAGGCTTCAACCAGACCCGGA